GGTTCAGACTGACTGGGGACTTGAACCATCACCACATGGGATCAGCCTCTCCTGAGCAGTGCACTGCCCTTCCCAGAATATCTTACAGCCTCCCCACAAGCACCCTGCTGCCATCTCTTTAGGAGTAAGCTTGTATGACGCTCGGTCAGTCATGAACAGGTCTGTGGGGGTGGTGACAGGGAAGGGGGCCTTGGAAGGCTGCCACTCTCCCAGCTCTGGACCGGAGGGCCCCTGAACGCCGTGGGCCCACAGGGGCAGCAGTCTCCCCACCCAGAGAGGCACGCGGCCAGTGCAGGCTCTGGTGGGCAGCGGGCAGGTGTGCTTCGGGGCTGTGGCGGCTCTGGCCGGACCAGGGAGGGCCAGTTTCTAGGGCCTGGCAGGGAAGTGCCTGGGGCCTGTGAAGAGGAGCGCACACCTTGGCGGGTGCAGGCTCCAGGAGACTGCGCATCCCACAGTAATGAGCGCATGGGCCTAGGGAGCGGGCCACAGGGAGTTCTAGCGAGGCTGCGCTTCTGTGGATCCCAGACACACAGCCCCGGCCTCTGAACTCACCCGCAGTATATCAGGAGCCCAAGAACTCCCGAAACTCGAGGCTCTGGAGGGACAGCCCCCGGCCCTGGGCAGGGTGGCACACAGAGTAGACAAGGAGCTTTAGCTTTATTGGTCATCCGAGATTAGAAAACGGGTGGGCCCTGCACAGGCCTGGGCCCTGCCCACTCTGCTGGGGGAGGGTGTGTGGGCCTGCAGCCCACGCAGCCAGGCTCCCTCGAGGGCTGCCAAGCCCAGGCACGGAGGCCAGAGCCAGCAGCCGGCATTGGGGCCCAAGGATGTCCAACGGCCCCAGGTCAGGGGTCCTCGAAGTGACCGGGCAGGCCTTGCAGAGGCGGGGTGCTGGTGCACTGGCAGAGAGAGTCCTTCTGGAAGGTCCTGAGACAGGCTGGCTTTGGCCCTGCAACCATCCCACCCACAGACCTGCTGTGTGTTCTCGGGTGGGTAGCAAGCCTTCTCTGGGCACAGGTCTCCAGGGCTGTCCAGTTCTGGCCTTCTGGCCTTCCCCCTCCCCCCCACGGCAAAGAGGGAGCTGCTCCCGGAAAGCACAGCTGAGAGCCGGGGTCTTGGGCACTTGGTCTCCGTCGGAGCGGTGGCCTCTCTGGACACGGTCTAGTCCTGGCAGCCAGGACATGGGGCAAGGGCAAGCAGGGTTCTGGAGAGGAGAGTGAGGAGGAGGGTCAGGGCATCTGCTGGCTGATGGCGGAGCCAGGGACCAGTCCATGAGCATCAGCGCCACTCAGACAGACTTGGGAGTGGGGAGCCAGGATCTGCCCTGGTGAGTTACCAGAGCATCCGGGCCTCAGTTTCCCCTCTGGAAATAGGATGATGATACTCTTCCTGGGCTGTGCCAGGATTGAAAGACCAGGTCTAGCACAGGGCTGGGGCCAGGGCCAGGCGGCTATGACCACAGTCACTCACCACCCTGACCTACTCTGGCACGGTGCTCGGTGGCCCTCAGCTCAAGGTCTCTGAGGGCACCGCCGGGTCCCCATGCCCAGGTGCCCACAGACCCCAGAACCCTCTCAGCTGGCAGATGGCACGTGTCAGGGACAGTCAAGGACAGCACTTGGGGTACACATTCGGCAGTCAGTAAGTGACCTGGCCATCATGCTGTGACAGAGCTGGAGGGCACCCAGCCTCTGCAGGGGACAACTTACTCAGGCGGGCAGCTGATCTGATGCTACATGGGACACCCAGATCCCACCCTGGCAAGAAGGTGGCTTCAGGTCCATCGCCAAGGCACAGGGCCAGGGTGCCCCACAGTGGGGAAGGCCCTGGGCGCGGTGCCCAGGAGGCCGTGGGCCACCACAGGACCAGGCACTCCCGACTCACCTGCACAGCTGAATGCCCAGCACCCAGCACCCCAGCCCACTGTCCACTGCAGCCTCTCAGGGTCCTCCTGCACAGCTGAACGCCCAGCACCCAGTGCCCCGGCCCACTGTCCACTGCAGCCTCTCGGGGTCCTCCTGTACAGCTGAACGCCCAGCACCCAGCGCCCCGGCCCACTGTCCACTGCAGCCTCTTGGGGTCCTCACTGTCCCCAGCACACAGGTACTCTGCCTCATGCCCAGGTGGCTCTGCCCGCTCTCCTGTGACTGCTAGGCAGGCACCTGCCAGGAGCGCCCACCCCTCAGCAGGTCACTCCATGTCTGGGACAAATCCAGGGTCACATGGCCGTGGTGTGGCTGGCCCAGGCATACCCTATCCCACCAGGCCTCCCTGCTCCTGGGCTGGGTGTCCTCAGGCCCGGGCTTGCCCCCTTAGAGCCAGAGCAGCAGGAGGGGCTGTGTGGTCTGGGAAGCGCTTCCCATGCTGGGCCTTGTCCTGTATCGCAGAAGGGGGAGGTCTGTCTACACCCTGTAGCCAGGTCCTGTCCCAGCAGGCGGGTGTAGACTGTGAGGTGTGGAAGGGGCAGGTGTGACGTGTTTGATTAGATCTCACCGCCCTGGTCAGCCCTGGTCAGACGGAGGGAGTCGTTCACAGCCCTGCCAGGGATGGCTTGTGTGCTGAGTGGGGTCAGCAGGGCACAGAGCTCCTGGTTGACTCAGGGAAGCCAGGCCTCTCAGCTCCAGTGAGCCCTCCAGATGCTGAAAAGTGGGTGGCAGAACATGGTGCCTGAATCCTGTCACCAGGGGACCCAGGCAGCCCGCACCAGGGCAAGCCTGGTGAGTGGACAGCACCAGAGCAGAGAGTTGGAGGGTGGTAGCCCTCTGCAGGTGGTGGGCAGGCGTGCCCTCCCCTGGCTCACCTGCGTGCCCTACTGCTGGGGTGCCACGTCCACCATGGGCTTCTGCACCCCGAAGGCCGTGATGAAGATGTTGACCACCACGATGATGAACACCAGCCCCGTGGCCAGGTTGTTGAGGAAGTCCAGCGTTGCGTGCTTGGCCGGATTATTCAGGTCGTACTTGACTGCGGGTGAAAGCGGAGTGGCTGGTGCCGAGGGCAGGCGGGCCCAGCACCCGGCCAGCCGTGACAGGAGACCCTCTCAGGTGGGGCCACGCCATGTTTGGTGCGTCCCAGGCCCTCGACTGCACTGAGCATTTTAGGAGAGCTGTTTCCTAAAAGCCCCCTGATTTGCCTGGGGGCCCACTCTGCACAGCCACCACACCCACAGGAGCCAAGGCTCGGGCGGGTCAAGGGCCCAAGTCTGGCCCCTGCTGGACAGCAAAGGAAGCCCAGGCTCTGCGGGAAGTGTGCTGAGCCTGCACACCTCGCCCTTCAGCTCTCCCACTGCCCACAGCCCTGCCGGGCACGTCCCAGGGCTTGTCACCTGCCCAAGGTTGTGCAGGGCAAGGTGCAGCAGCTCAGCCCAGCCTGCCTCCCACCTGCCATGGTCCATCTGTCCACCCTTCCACCAGAGGAAGTCAGTCCATGGTCAGGGCGCCCTCACTCAGTTACTTAGTCCGGGGAAGCATCGGGGTGCAGCCTGCACTCCGGGTCTTCTCTCAACAGAGCCTCTCCATGGCAACGGTCAGCGCCAAGGCCTCTCCCGCTTGCTGGGCCCAGGTCTCCACCCACCACCACCCACTCAACTCCTGGGCCCAGGTCTCCACCCTTACCCCCCCAGCCTCCACCCCACTCGCCTTCTGAGTAACTTGACACCTCCTTTCTCACTGTACAATCACCAGGGATGGCTCAGAGCTCATGCTGGGGACATCAAGATTACTGCCCCGTCTCTCAGGCTGAGGCCATTTGGCAGCATGGCCAGAGCAGGGACCAGAGAGGCAGGTGCTCTGAGTCCCACAGGCCCAGGGCCTGAAGAGCTCTTGCAAAGCTCCTGGCTGGGGGAGGAGCCACATCTGGCAGGGAGTGCCTGTCCCGAGGGGTGTGCAAACACCTGGCAGCCGGCACCCACCGAGGAAGATGAGCAGCACGCCCACGCCGATCTGCAGCGCCAACGAGATGGAGATGAGCACCACCAGGGGCACGTAGAAGGCGAAGCTGGGGCCCTGCTCCACCACGGCCTTCAGCTGCGAGGCGTTGGCCAGCAGCAGCGCCACGTCCAGCATGCTCTCCGCCGCGCTCTTCTTGTTGGCGTAGTGGTTCATGTTGATGGGCCGGTTCCTCCAGCCCCAGCGTGGTGGCTGCAGGGAGAGAGCATCAGCGGGACCAGGCTCAGTGCCCAAGGAAAGCCCCTACCAGAAGGGCTTGCAGCCAGGAGGGACCCTGAGAATGGGCCCTTACAGACCTGGAGCAAGCCCTGGTGCGAAAGGGTGGCAGGCCCTGGCACCCCAGCTCGCACCACAAACCGGCCTCCCTATGCCACAGCCAGCCGGCCTCCCCCTGGGCCTAGCTGGGGCCAGGAAGGGCGGTGAGATGAGGCAGGCAGGAGGAGCTGAAGGCTGTGCTCAGCCACTGGGCGGCAGGCTGCCCAGTCCCGTTAGGGTTGACCCTGGGAGGGCAGGCTGCCCAGCCTCGTTAGGGTTGGCCCTGGGAGGGCATGGCTGCCCAGCCAGGTGGCCATGAGCAGCAGGCGCTGGTGATGCCGGCACCCAAGCTTGTACACAGCAGGCGCTCAGGCGCGGCCTTGGTACGCCATGGGGTGAGGTCAGCTCAGCTGCACTTCGTTTTCAGAGCGGTCACGAGGACTTGCATTCAGAACCTCTCCTGGGCTCTAGGCCTCACGCAGGGTGGTCCCTCTGCTGTGCCTTGTGGGGTCAGCCCTTGCCCAACCTTGGAGGCAGGTCCCCGCCAGCTCCCACCAGCTGGAGCCAGCAGTCAGTGAGGCCTGCAGCTCGCAGGCAGCCCCCAGTGCCTTTCCATTGCCAGATACCCTGGTGTTCTGAGGCCCTGCCGAGGCCACTCCTTCAGGCAGCCTCCCGGGATGCCCCCTGCATGCAGGGCCCTCCTGCCACAGGAGGTCACCTCTCGGGGCTGGCCTGTTTCCTTCCAAGGCAGCTCTGCGCACTTGGCTTCTTCCTTCTACCCAGCCAGGCTCAGCCCCTCTCAAGCTGCCCCCATCAGGCCCCCGTCAACCTGCAGGCCAGCCTGAACAGGACCTGTGTTCACAGTTGCCCTGAGCCGCCAGGCCCTGACCACAGCCCTGGACCAGGACTGGGCACCCAACTGGAGGCGGTGGCCTCTTAGGGCCGCAGCTCCTGTTTCCACGCTCATGCAAGATGCAGGCTGCTCTCTGCAGCTTGGACGCATTCACGATGAAGGCTAGAGGGCGGCCGGGCCACGGCTAATGGAGCTGTGGTTTAAATTTCTGAAACGCTGGGACCAGGAGTGGAGTGTGGGCAGCAGGACACACTGGGCTCTGCTGCCTGGTCCAGGCCTGAGTCCTTCAGCGGTCTGCCCTCAACACTAGCTGCTAGGGTGGAGCGGGTTCTGTATTCTAGACACCACAGCACATGGACAGCCACCTCCGGCCAGCCCCAGGGCCTCCGTGTAGCCCTCGGGTCACCCCACTCACACCCGATGACACTATGGCGTGTCCACTATGCTCTACCCATGCCAGGCCTCACCCTACACTCCCTGGGCTCCCCCAGGCCCTGGCATGCCCAGGGTGCAACTGTTCCCTCCCAGGGTGCCCAGGCCCGGGGTGCAGGAGGCCCATGCTGAAGGGACTGGGCTCGGCACTGAGACCATGCCTCCAGCTCTGCTCCCCCAAAGCTGTCAGCTGGCCATGCCCAACACGTGTGTCCTTCACACATGTGCCCTGCTGAAGCAGTGTCCCAAGGCCACTGGCCTGCAGCAGGCACATGCCCGGAAGTTCCTAACCCACAAGTTCATGGGGGATGGAGGAAGCATACTCTCATTCAGAGCTCTTCTATAATCTTTCATAGCCGCAAGGGCACAAGGAGAGGAACCCCTCCTTCCCCAAGGCCACCCCGATGCGCATTCAAGAGAGAAAAAAAACAGGGGCCAGGTGGTGGCCTGTGGAGATGCTGCGGCCACAAAGGCAGGCCCTGGGATGGGATCCCCGAGCACATGCGTGTTCTGTGGCCCCACCAGCTAGGAGCAGGGTGGACATTCTGCTGGGCCTGCTGGGCGGCCTGCCCCTCTCTTGCTCTCTCTCTGTCTCTCTCATGGAAGAAATAAACTTAAAAAAGAGAGAAACAAGCCAGGCCAGGGCCACTGAGGGCGTGACGATTAAGGCAGCTGGATCCCACATGGCCAATTGTGTGGTTCAAGTCCCGGGCCCGGTGGCTTGACAAACATACTAGGCACATGTGCGCTCCAACTCTCAACAGGAGGGAGAGGTGGAGAAAGACTGCGGCATGATCATGCTCCACGGAGGGCACTTTCTTTCCTTCCTTCTCTCTCTCTGTTTCTCTCTAGTGAGTGTACATGCCCTCTGAGAAAATTTGTTTAAATACACACATGCACATACATACATACATACATATGCACAGTTCTTTACACATATGTAGTATTCACGTATAGGGGCCTTCAAAACATCCATGGGAAGTGCAAATTATCAGAAAACCATGCATGGATTTCAAAATGTTTTGCACCAAAACAAACTTTCACTTTGCTTTTATTTTCCACAAACTTTCCCAAGACCCATCATATGCCATGCAAGCACATGCAGACATACACCACAATGCATACTCTCATATTCACACACACATAAATGCACACAGCATAACATACACGTGGATACACAGATTCCACATAAATGCCGATGCCCACGCGACCTGCAGCGGCCTCTGGGCAGAGCAGGGACTCGGAGCGTCCCGACCCTTTAGACACCTGGCCATGTGCTCACTGGGCATGTTCACGTGTGTGAACAAGCAGCTGCAGCGTCAGAGCTGTTGGCTCCCCTGGCCACAAGCAAACAGCGCCCCTGCTCTGTCTGTGTGGGAGGCTCCTTACACAAAGCCACATAGCAAGTCAGCTAGGGTATGAACCCAGGCCCCAGGCCCCAGAAGCCACGGTAGCTGACACCACTGGCCCCGCAGAGGCAGCAATGCCTCTGTGTTCTGCAGGGAGCAGACGCCTTGAGGTGGCCTGGAGCCGGGTGGTCAGCAGAGGTCCCGACCCACAGACCCTCCTGATGAAGAGCACTTCCAGCACTTCCGGCCATCTGCTTCCTGAGAGCCGTGCATGATAAGGAGCGCCAGCCTAGGCGGTGGGCCCAGGGCTGGGGAGGCCTCCTTGTGCAGCTTGGGCAGTGTTCTGGGCACATCGTTCTCCCCCTGGAGGAGGAGGCAGGTCACTGCCCCAGGTCTCTGGACCGTGCTGGGGTGGACCAGGACTCAGACCAGGGCTGTGTACTGCCCCAGGCAGTGGGGCACTGAGGCTGTGAGCTGATGAGGGTGGGGAGGGGCCTGCAGAGCTGCCTTGCCTGGCCCCTGACCTCAGTAAGGTTTGGGTGCAGTGCACACCCAGCCTTCCAGGATACCTGAGCCTCGGAGGTGACTACTGCACCCCTCTCCCAGGCCCTGGGTGCTCACCACTGTCTTGGAAAGCCTACCCAACTCAGGTCAGGATCCCCGGGCCTGCCGACTCCAGGAGCTGTGCTGGACACCCCTGCCAAGACCTGTGCCACGGCCTGGGCCGTGCAGGAAACCAGCCCCCTGGTTAATGTATCCCAGGGCCGTGGGGCTTCCCGGACATGGTCTGTGCCCAGTGGTTAGTGACTCTGGACTCGTCCCTCTGAAAGCAGGGGAGGAGCCTGGCAGGGAAGTCGGCTCTGGGCAAGGGTGTGAGGAAGCACCACACTACCTCCAGTGGGCAGCTGCGGGCTGCAGCCACCCTGCCAGTGCCCTCTGCTCACATCGGGGAGCAGGACACAAGTAGGGCTTCGGTTGGCTGGATTTGGGAGGGCTGCTGCAACCCAGGCCTGGCTCTGGCCACAATGTAGCGGGTGCCATGGCCCCCCAGAGCATGGATGTGGAGACAGGATGTGGGGCTGTGGCCACCAGCTGGGCCACAGGCATAGGGATGGGCACCGCTGACCCTGAGGAGTGAGGCCAGAAACTGCCCTGGCACCTCCCATCACCCCTAACCCCTGCACCTTTGGCCACTCTGGGCCTCAGGCTCTCCACCTGTACAACAGGCAGACAGGGATGTGTAGGAGAGGCCCTGGGGCCTGGGAGCACACAGTGTGGGGGGCAGGCAGGGTCCCCAAGGCCCCGCTCTCACCACTTGGAACGGCTCTGCCTCCCTAGCAACCCCCACCAACCCGGAATTACCTGCAGGAAGCAGCAACAAGGGCATTAATGTAAGCCAGCCAGCCGCGGGCCTCTTGAGCTCGGGACAGCAGCCATGGACCTCGGGTGCCCTGGGGGCCCAGGACGGGACCCCAGCAGACACAGCCGGCTGCTCAGGGCCCTCACCCTCAGGCTCGGCCGGGCGCCATGAGACAGGGGCTCGGGGCCTCGGGCGTCTCTGGGCTGTCTCGCTGTGTGGCGGTGGCCCTGACACAGCACCGTGGACAGCTGGGGCTGGCCTTGGAACGAGCTGCCTGAGGCCCGGCCCCCAGCTCAAGAGCCAGGCTCAGGAGGGTCTCTGGGCTGGTGTTCCTGGCAGGAAGTCCCAGCGAGACAGCAGGAAGCGCCAGGCGGGGCAAGGGCGTCCCATGGCAGCTGGGCTTGGGCTGGGCTGGGTGGCCCTGGTTCCCGCAGGCTCAGCACTGACCTGAGGGCCTGTCAGGGTCACGTTCTAAAACTTGGCTAAGCAGCAGAAATGAGGGGAGGGACAAATGCACACCCAGGCTACCCCCACGACAGAGGCCGTGCAGCTGGGTTGGGGTCAGGGCACAGCTGCCAAGCCCCTGAGGTCCTGGTTTCTCGGCCCAGCTGTGGCCCCAGGAGCCTTCACCGAGGGCCCGTGAGGGACTGACATCAGAGGGTGTTGTCCCAGCCGTCCTTGCCACCTCCCTGCAAAGTCTAACACCCATCACCTCCAGGTGACACTGCAGGACGGAGCGGGGGGCCATTCTCACATCCAGACAGATGAGTATGGTACCTTCTGCTGCAGGCCAGACCTGATGGAGCCGCCTGGCACTGACAGGGCCACAGCACGGGGATCAACAAGCCCCCTACTGCTCTGGGTCACTCTGCCCAGCAGTTCCATGTGTGGATTCCCTGTGGGCAGTTGTGTCCCAATGCACAGAAGAGGAAACTGAGGTCGG